TGAGCTTTCCCAGGAAAACCAGGATAAGAATTTAGTGTCAGGCAATGGGAATCCTTTTTCTTTGCCATAAATAGGAGCTGACTTCTTGTTGGGATTGGGGTTGTGTGTGCACGTGGGTGTTGGTGTCTGTCTGGGGGAGCTTCTTCATCAATCAGCACCTTCTCTGAGCCTGATCCTTTGCAGATTGGCAAGAATTCCCTGATTTATCCCAGAATAAAGGTCCCTCCTGCCTCTGTCATTGCAGCCTGCTAGCAAGGAGAGCAGATCTCTGGGGGTGTGTGTATTCCCACCTGAGAGGGGAGGCTGCAAGGCAGGGATATTTTTTATGTAGATTGATGTCTGCAGATTCAGATCAGAGACTGACTGAATTAATGGCTGTTTTCCAAACCTCACCTTCCGTGCATGTGACTTACTGTAAATGTCTAATCTAAGGATATATGTTGTCTGTAATACTGTTAATTAAAATTTTATGCAAATATCCAGTGAACTCCTGATGCTTAATGTTAATTTTCACACTTGATATTAAAGGCTTTTCCTATATTTCCTGTGTATGCTTAGCTGGGCTATGCAGATATTTACCTTCAGGCTGATATGAAGGGCATTTTATCAGTGCAGACAAATCCTGGTTGGAGTTTTACATTCCAGAGGTGTGAATGGATTCTGCTGAAAGCCTGTCTATAGGTGGATTTGTGGGGCTGTTTTCTTTGAACTGAGTTTATGAAGGACTTTGTGGCTTGGCCTTGGTTCTGTGTTAGTCTCAGCAAGTTAAAGATGTTTCCTCATGCAGATTTCATTCACTGAGCTTAATATCTTGTGAGAGAGATGAGGAGTTCAGGCAAGAATCCCTTCTGTCTGCACGTTGTGTGGAGGAAAGCACCAGGAGAATTCATTATTTGGGTAATGAAAGTGTTGGGATAGGGAAAAGGGCACGGCATGTTTCCCTCCAGGTTCCCCCTGGTAACACAGGGAAGCTTCACCTGCTCGTCTGCACATCTGTTTGCTTTGCCATTTGGAGATGTCAGGATACTTCAAAATCAGAGAAAATGGCTTGTAGGGACCAAGAGTGAAAATGAGGAAGGCTCCTCAAGACTAAACTGTTGAACTTTGACAGAAATCTGCTCGAGCCTTTTTCCTGCTAACCAGAAACAGCTTTAATCAACTGGTCTCACTTTTTGCTTTCTTTGCAACTCTGCTGTTAAAAATGCAAACTCACATTTTTGCTGAAGTTGCAAGTGCATTGTGCTTCCTTGTGGTTTGTTGTGAGAAGTTAATTCACTGAGGTCTCGGGGGGAAAAAAAAAATCTAAAGTTTCTGTGTAAGAGTTTGATCATGTGTTAGAAACGGTTCCTCACTTTTATGCACTTGGGGTGTTTGGCTTTTTGATCTGTTTAATGATACAAGAGGTTCTTGAAGTGCTGCAAGGCTTGGGATAATCCAGGAAAAGGCTTCCATTGAGGGAGCAGTGTTTAAAGCAGTGTTAAAAACAGGGCTGTTAGGTGAGGGTCAGTCCCACTGCCAGGACAGGAGCTTGAGTATTGGTACAGCTGCATTGGTGAGGGGAGCACCAGCTCCATCAGCTTTCCATCCTGTCATCCTTTGGGTGTTCATTATGAGGTTTAGAATAAGTTGGTTTTTATGGTTATGAGTAGAGTAAGATGAAAACATGTCCATCAAGAAAAGGAAAAAACAAACCTTAATGTTTCTCTCATTAAAGGCCTTGGTTTTCAGGAAGATAAAAAAGTGAAGAATCACTTAGCATTGATGGATTGATGGGTTTACAGAACAACAAGTGAAATATTTCATTTCCTGGAAGTGTGTAAATTGCTGGTTTCTTTTAATCCAGTGTGTTCTCCCCTGTGTTTCCCTTGGGGTTGTTTTTCCAAAGCGCTACTCCGGACTTGGAAAAGCTTCCTGTTTGGAGTTCTTCCTTTGGTTTCTTCTCCAAAACCAAGTGCCTGATTTCCCATTGGGGTGTAACTGGGAGGGAATGAAGGCTCTTTGCTCTGTTTTTTCAGAGCTTGACAGCTTTGTGTTGCATTTAATCAGCTTTAAAAGTGGGCCAGAGTTGGGTTGTTCTTGTCTTGCAGTCTGCTGTGCACCAAAGCTTAGGAGACTTTGAGTATTTTTCCTGTGCTGTTGTGTAAAAATGGCTGGATTTGGTGCAAGAAAGAGAAAAGGGAAGCAAAATTGTGTTGTGAGGGTGGTTAATTCTTCAGGGATTATTAAAATGATTTTTCCAAAAGCTTGTGAAGTTGTAAAGTAATAAAACTTATTTTTGACTGGGGAGATACAGGTGAGGCACTTGCTCCTGTAGTGTACTTGTAAAAAGATTTTGGGAAGGCCTCTCATCCCTGGCCTTGAAAGAAATAAAACTTTCATAAGGCAGGAATGTTTTTCATAGATTTGCAGTGAGTTAAAAGTCAGGAAATGGGGTTAGGAGTAAATGTTGTTTCTCACAGGGTTCCCAGCCAAATGTCCTGCCACAGATCAGGGCCCTTTTGCAGATTGGCCCAAAATAATACGGTAGCCAAATTGAAGCAAATTAGTAAAATTTGAAATTAATCTTGAATTGAAAGGAATGATGAAAGATTGAGACCTGCTGAGGGATAAAGTGGCAGGTGAAATGCACAGGGAGAAGAAATGTGCAGTAGAAGTACAACTCCCAAGAGGCACGTAGAATTTTAGGAAGCCTTTAATAAATGGGGAGTGCTAAGCGGTAAATGACTGTGTTGTGATACAAACTTTTGTTGCTGCCAAATCTGAAATGCAGAGTGCTGAGAACTGTGTGTATCCCAAGAAATGGGAGTTTAATCCGTGCATGGAAACATCACAGGGATGATGGAGATACAGAGAAGCTTGTAAATAGCCTGAATTTCAGAAACCTCAGCTCAGAAGGAGCTGGCCAATTCCTATAAAACCATGAGGGACATAAAGAAGCCCAAGGTGATGTTTTCTGTCTTAGAAACATGAAGGAGCTGAGAAACATGTCAGCTGAGCGTGGTCACCGTGGTTTTACGTGCTGAGGGTGACACAGGGAGCTCAGGTGGCTTCCAGAGGGGTTGGGAGAAGCCCAGTGTGCCCCTGCTGGCATCCAGGGTGTCCCAGTTGCTGATAATACAAGGAAATAGAAATACTATTTTTCATCCTCTTTGCACAAGGATTTGTGCCTGAGGATGTCAGGCTTGGTGAACTTTTTATCCAACTGGTTTAGAAGGTTTTGTAGTTCTCCTGGGTTTGATTTTTCATGTTCTTCACTGCTTTTCTGGTTGAAAAAGCTCAGTTTTTATGGGGGGGATTGGATTCTTCTGCTCTGGGATCTGTATAGTCATCAGGATTGTGTCCATGATCCCCCTGGCACTTGGATCCTGTGCTGCCTCCCAGTTCAGTGTGACCTTCCAGATCCCCTGGATAACTGGTTTCAGCTTTGCTGGGAACTTGCCTTAACCCCTTCTCGGCAAAAAGAAATGGTTTAGGTTAAATAAGATGCACACTGTCCTTTTTCTGTTGAATTTTTATTGTTTCCTCACATTTTACCAGTCACATCTTAGAGAGGGATCAAAGGGGCAGGTGAAATTCTAGAGGTCAGGACCAGTCATAGAATGTTCGTGTAGGATCAACATTTTCAAATTCTGGTTTTGATCCACACAGAACTTAAATGTTCCAGGAGATGCCCCTTTTTATTCCTGTTGCTGTTAGCCAGCTCCTCTCCTACAGCTGTTTCTAAATATTGGGGACAACAACAGGGGGATGCAGTTTGCCTGAAGTTTAGTGGTTTCATTCAAAATTAATCTTCCATCACGTCATAAGAGGTTTTTACTCTGCCAAAAATCAACTTTAATGGAAGAAGATCAAATGAAATAACTCATTAGGTGTGTTCTGTGGTAGTTAAACCTGCCCAGAAAGGTTTCCAAGGAAGGGAATTTGTCTTTATGCTAAAAAAAGCTATTACAGACCTGTACTGACACTGAATTCTGCTTCCATTCCAAATGGCATTGCAGTAATTTGAAGAATGAGAACAATGTCAGGCTTGAAATCTGTGCTTTCCTTGTCTGCAGTATCTCTGTAAGGGATGGGGCTGGTTCTAGGGAGTTTGGAGGAAGATTATTAAAGCACATCTGGAATGGGCATCTCTGTGAACGTGGCCAGCTCAGTTTCAGAGTCCCTGCTCAGTGTTTGGGGCTCTCAGGGCTGCTCTGTGTTAATGGAATGACCAATCTGCCAGTTTGCTCAAGTAATTTATTCCAAAGCTTAATAGGCCTCTGTTTACTTGAAACAGTGACCTTAACTAAAGAACTGACACAGCTTTCCAGCTCCACAGCTTGTCCTTGCCTTTTCTTGCCAATCATTTTGGCTTTACAATTCCATTCTCATAGAATTAAAAATTCTTCTGTGCTTGGGTGAAAGACAGAGCAGAAAGCGTGGATGTGCCGAGTGTTGTCAAATGAACAAAGTAAATGCATTTGGGAAAAAAAAAATTCCTTCTAATCTGCTTATCATGAAAGGTCACCTTGAGTTGGAGTGTGTTGGGCCACAGGATCTCTGCCCTGAGGCCGAGAGGGCTTTAAACTTACCCAGGGTTTCCAAAATGACTTGGTTGATTTTTAGGAAGTTTGCTTGTTCTCTCTGCATGCAAATTCCTGCTGCTAGAGAGCTGCTGAACATGGAATTTCTCATGTGGTTTCATCTGAGCTCTGTAATTTCTGTAATGAAAAGTTCTGGGTAGGTTTTGCTTTGTGTAAACTAAGGCTCCAGGTTGGACTTTGTTTCTGGTTTGCTTTTAAAATTTTGCCTTTGTATCAGCATGATTGTCTTCTTGGTTTTGTTTTGCTCAGCACTTCAGGTTTTTAATCTTAAATGTTTCATATGACACATGAGAAGAATAAATTGTTTTAAAAATCAGAAGAAATTCAAAGAGAAAAAAATGCATCTAGGAAAATTTCTCCCAAGTGTGCAGAGCAATCAGACCCCACTAACCTGCTTTGTTTTTTTTCCTCACTCAGGTCATGATTTTCATTTTCTCGTGTCATTCTCTTGAGGAGAGGAAATGATTGTAGTGGAACGTGTCACAAATACGCCACTGCTACGGAGCCTTCGCAGTTCAGAAACGTTCCTGGAAGAGCAGATTTAGCCCTTTGCTGTTTGTGTTCTGGAATCTGGCTTGTTGAAAAGGGAAATAAAAATGACGACTTCGTCTATCAGACGGCAGATGAAGAACATTGTGAACAATTACTCAGAGGCCGAAATAAAAGTTCGGGAAGCGACCTCAAATGACCCCTGGGGTCCTTCCAGTTCGTTGATGACTGAAATAGCAGATCTGACCTACAATGTTGTGGCCTTTTCTGAAATTATGAGCATGATCTGGAAACGACTGAACGACCACGGCAAGAACTGGCGACACGTCTACAAGGCCCTCACTCTCTTAGATTACCTGATTAAAACTGGGTCTGAGAGGGTGGCCCAGCAGTGTAAAGAGAATATTTTTGCTATCCAGACATTGAAAGATTTTCAGTACATCGATCGAGATGGGAAAGACCAGGGCATCAACGTGAGGGAGAAATCCAAGCAGCTGGTGTCCCTTCTGAAGGACGACGAGCGCCTCAAGACAGAGAGGGCCCAAGCCCTGAAGACCAAAGAACGCATGGCTCAGGTGGCCACTGGGGTGGGCAGCAACCAGATCACCTTTGGCCGAGGCTCCAGCCAGCCCAACCTGTCCACCAGCTACTCAGAGCAGGAGTATGGAAAGTCTGGAGGATCCCCAGCATCCTACCACGGCTGTGAGTACAGGCAGACACATGCCAAAGTGCCGCTCCTTCGCTTTGGGGAGTTGCTGTTGGAGGTGGGAGCCATTGGTGCCTTGGGGAGGGTGGAAATGCTGCCTGCAAGGGGGTCTGGGAGCTCTGTGGATCTGCTCCCTGCTCTTGATGGCCTGGGTAAATATTTGCTTTGGAGAGGACGGATGTAGTGATGGAAATTGATTTCAGAAGCCTTTGTTTACTGTCAGTTCCAAAGGTAGCGCTGCCAGGCTGCTCTTGGGAACTCCCAGTGTTTGGTGTGATGGGGAGGGTGTGAAGGGGATTTTCTGTTTGTTTCTGGTTTTAAAATGAGCTCTTGAAGATGTGTTTTGATCATGGGATGGTTTGGGTTGGGAGGGAATTTAAAGCTGATCTCATTACACCCCCCTGCCATGCTCAGGGACGCCTTCCACTATCCCAGATTGCTCCAAATCCCATCCAAACTGGTTTTTGATTAAGAATAAATAAGAAATAGAGAATATTTCCTGAATCATTTTGCTACTTTATGCTGCTCCTATTGTACTTTGGCAACAGTGCTGCTGTTTAATTTCCTTTATTGCTTACTGAGCAGTTCTTGGGGGAGGAGAGCTTTGAATCTGTATTTAAGTATTTATATTCTCAGTATTTGGTGTGTGAGTGTCTGTACTAAATACTAAATACTATAGTTCATTCTTAAAAAATGAATAGAGTGATGTGGGAAGAACAAATTCTTTCCACCACTGCTTGGTGGGATTCCCTGTCATGTCAGGAAGAGGCCTGATTTGGCACTAAATCCTCCTTAATGTAAGCAATGATCTGATGAAAGCTGCTTTGGCTGGAATGTCAGTGGTTGTGGTCTAATTCTGAAGGAAAATCTTTTCTTTAAATGAATGTTTAGGGTGTGTGGAGGGCTGTGACTGAGCCAGGCTGCAGAAACCACTGAGCACCAGCTTTAGGAATCCGAAGTTTGTCATGTCCTGGATCCCAAAGTGCTTCTTAAATCATAAATCCTTGAGTGGGGTCAGCCCTGCTGACATTTGAAAGAGGAGATAGCAGGAAAATCAAACCAGGATGGAGAAAATCTCTGTTTCAAGCTCTGGAGACAAGCAGAATAAAATGATTTCCAAAAGGAAATATTTTTAGGATAGAGGGCACAAAAAATGTGAATGAAGGTTTCCAGCTATGAGAATTTTTGATATTGGCTTTTAATTAGCAGTAGGATAACAAACATCATAATTTTTCTGTAACAGTAATTTTTCTATATTTATATAGCTTTTCTATAATAACCATGCTTGAGCACTGTGAATTTTTAAAGAAAAACTCCTATATTGTTACCTCAGTAATAACAACATTTTTACTTTTCAAATCTATAGATTGTTGTTGACTACAACAACAATTCTTAATTTAGAGTTAGCTTGAAATATTAATTATAACTTGGGCTGGTGGGCTGAAATGAGTGACTGAGGTATGCTGAGCACACCTTGGGTTTCACAGGGTTATTGCTCCACCAGTCCCAACTTTAATTAATGCCTGGAACTATTGTTTGGAATCTTAAATGTTACCAGAGGCTCCAAACTATTCCTCCCAGCAGGGCTGAGCAATGCAGGGCGTTTTCCTCAATTGTTCCTCGGATGCTTTAGGAATTTTGATGGGAGAAGCAGCGACTTTGGCTGTTCTCTCAGTATTCCAAGTGTGGATTTACTGCTCCCACTCCCCTGTCTGTGTCCTGTGGCAGGATTGCTTTGGAGGTAAAGATTCCTTAAGCTTTTTTTATTTCCTCACCCCCTAAGAAGCTTTAGAAATCTCAGGATTTTTTCTCCTCCCCCACCTCGGTTCTTCCTCTGTTCCAACTCTCCTGGACTTTTTTCACTGTGGATCAGCAAAAAAATCCAGGTGGCTGTCACTTTGTATATTTTGAGGTTTTTTAATGTGTTTCTTGTCTGGTTTAATTGAGTGGAGCAAAGCAAAGCAGCACCTTCCAGAACAGCTGTGCTAAGTCCTTCTAATATTGGGAAACTGGGAAGAGCTTTATCCCAGGAAACAAGGAAGGAGTTTCATTAAAATCCAGACATTTAATCTGTTACATCAATGTAGGGTTATTCCTGTGCCTGCTAAATTTGATAGAAAAGATGCTTTTCATTATTTAAAGTGAAAGAGATTGTATCTATCATGTGTTCTTTTTTTTTTTAATTATACCCGTCTTTTGTGCTGAAAAATCTGGATTCAGAAAAGAATCTGTAAAAGGAATGAATTTCTGCTTCACTCCTGGGAAATCCTCCCCTTAGAACATCCCGAAGATGCTGTTGCTGCTCTGTATATTCTGGCAGAATTCTCTTTCATTCCTCTAAGCCTTTGAAGAAGAGATCAGAGACATTTAGATTTACCATCTACAGCATGAGATTTGTCTTCTTCAAAACGTCCAGCCACCCTCTTTGCTGAATGTTTAGCACACCTGCTTACCAGGCAAATAGAAATAAAGTTTGGGAGAGTGGCAGAGCCTTTTTGCCAGCACCACCACAGGAAATGTTTTGTCCCTCAGTTGTTTGCTATCAGCACATTTTACTCTTGGTCCTTCTACACACCACGGGTGAGGCTTGCAGAATTCATTCCCCTGGCTTGAGGAATTTATTTTGGGTTATAAAATCTCATTTTTAGTGCCTTCTTGCAGAAGAAAGAGCTGAAAGAGTTTGGTAGTCCCTGCAGGACGGCTTACCAGTAACTTCCAGTGGATATTGGGATACTGGATTGGGATCTCTGCCCTCTCCTTTCAGGGACTAAAAGTGCAATTTTGGTTAAATCAGTGAAGCCTTTTTGGGTCAATTTGTTGAGAATGTTGAATCAGCTGCAGTGCACAGCCAGCACTGACTGAACTCTGCTCAAACTCCTCCTTCAGCTTCCCAGCCTGGGTAGGTTTGCATGGGAACAATTGGATTTTTGCTCTACAAGGGGTTTTCTTAAAGAATTGCTGTTTTTTGTGTCCCAGATTCATCCTTTGTGACAAAATAAAAGCAATATTGATACCCTGTGTAGTGTGAGAGAGTTCAAGATGGAAAAGGATCTCTTGACTGATGTCAAATCATCCCTCACTCCTGCAGCAAATACGGAAATTTTTCCCTATTTCCTTGTGAATATTTTCATTTCATCTCTAAAAATCCTTTAGAAACTGTGCAGAATGAAATGGTGCGACTTGATTGTTTTTAATAAAATCCTTCCCACCAAAGCTTTACCTTAATGGCTTTGTTGGCCCTGAAGATCTCTTGGATAATTCCAGGGAGCACATTATAGCATGTGAATTGTACAAGTATTTGTGGGGTTTTTTTTTCCTATCCAGTCTCATAACCTGAAAATGGAAGCCAAGAGAGATACTCAAAAGCAAAAATAAAACTCCTCCCAACCTCCATCTTGTCAGCAATTTCTGACATACTGGGAAAAATTAGTTTTATCTTCCCTCTATAAATAATTAATGCTCAGATTAGGAGCTATTAAATTTTCCATGACAAAATGCATAATTTTTATTTATTTTGGAAGATATGCCAGTTCTGTAGAGTTACATCAAATCTGATATCAGGTTTTATTTCACCTTAAAGAAATATTCTTGTGTGGTGCTGAAACTAAACCAACTGAGGAGAGGGAGGGATATAAAGTACATATTTAAAATCTTCTGGAGCAATAGTCCCTCACTCCTAATCTGCCTTTGGGTCTAAATAATTGGGTTTTTTCCTGACATTTGTCATCCAGTTTCAAAAACTTCAGCCTCTTGTTCCTGGCCTTGTTTCATCTCCAGCTGCCAGTGACCACTTAAATAGGATTCTGGATTTATGGCTGCATGGGGAAAAGTAGGATGTTCTTAATTTAGACCTCTTAAGCCTGAGCTGGGATGCTGCTCCCAGCCTGGCAAATGCTGGTGGTGTTTTAAAACCAAGTTTACTGAGGCCACACTTTTGAAGAGATCCAATCCTGTTATGCCCAAGCTGGGATGTCCTGGTGTTATTTTGGGTTGTGCCCACATCCTTCCCTTTTTCCCTGTGCTCCAGGAGGGTTTGGGAAGCTGGGCTGGGATAGGAGCCTGCTGGAGAGGAGATGCTGAAAGATGCACTGGGAAGGACTTTTATGGATCTTGGGAAATGCCAAGTTTTTAACTTAAACCTGGAAGAATTCTGGGAGCAATTTGCTGTAGCTGAATTAATCAGTTTAATATTTCCAGTGATTATTCACGTTGACTTGTTATTTAAAATGAGTTTGGTGAAGCCTCAGCAAGTTTGTGTTCACTCATCTGCTTTGGTTCTGTCTCCCCTTTTGCTTGAAAATAATTCAGAGAAATTGCTGTTTGGTGTTTGACACAATAAGAATTTATGAAATCCAGAATGGTTTGGGTTGGAAGGGACCTTGAAGCTCATCTTGTCCCAGCTCCCTGCTATGGGACACTTTCCACTATCCCAGCTTGCTCCAGCCTTGAACATTCCAGGGATGTGGCAGCCACAGCTTCTCTGGCCACCCTGTTCCATTCAGAACACTCCTGTCCTTAAAGGGTTTGGCTTTTATTTAATAATTATTTCTTTAATAAGCTGTTCAGCATCTCTGCAGGTTGGAACACATCCCCACCCTTCCATCTTAGTCAGGGAATGTAGGGAATATCACCCAGCAGTGAATCTGGCTGAGCAGTGTGGCAAATTCCCGTACTGTGAGGTGTTGAAGGAATGTGGCAGACTCCTGTCAGATGTCATTTGACAGCTTGATTAAATCCTCTCATCGTACATTTATTTTCCTGGTGCTGAGAGTGAAGGTGGGAGGTGTATCCAGACTTTGTAGTGACACTGAATTATCCAACTGTGTCCATTCACAGGGGTGTGGGGATCACCTGAGAGGAAAATGCTCCCAACAAAACAAACCTGAAGGAATTGGTTGAGTGTTAAATGAATTTCAGAAGCTCTCAGTCTGCTCAGCGCTGTCAGAATCCTGCAGGAAGGCTGAGCAGCTCCACCTTGTCATATTCATCAGCGTTACCAGCTTGCTTCTTGTACCTGAAAGATTCCTTCATTCCCAAGGGAAAGGTGGATTACACAATTCTTCTAGATTAAGCAGTTTGCATTTGCCTTTCCATCATTTGGCTTTTTAAAATTATCCCATCTTTATTTGAGTGCTCTTTCACTTGAAGACTGACAGATGGGATCTCTGCCTGCTTCCCAAGTGAATTGCTGTTGGTTTCTGAGTCCTTACCTTGATCCTACTTCAATTTTTCAAGTCCCTTTTGGTTTTGCCCACCTTTGTAGGTTCACTGAGTGAGTGAGGGACCAGCTTTTCTTTCTGAGCAAATGTGACTGAGAGCTGAATCCTGTTCTTCAGAATTCCACCTGCAAATTAGAAAGAAAAAACACTAAAGAAAAAAACCCAGAAATAACAAAAACAGCCCCCAAGCCCAGCATTCTGAATGAAAACACAGTCTGATTTTTATTATTAATGCAGGCTCTGCTCTCTGTGTCCTGTATTCCACTTTAACTCAGCCAGGATCTATAACCAGCTACAGAGGCCTTTTAATAGAGCCAAAATACAGGAAATTATCAATAGATGTGTCTGGGAGCTGTCCGAGCCTGGCCAGGCACAGATGGTGCAGCAGAATCCTGCTTTAGTGATTAACTCAGCCTTCAGATGATTTCCTTCAGCAGCCAGCCCCGTGCTCCCTGTGGGAACAGATCCCCACAAATTTGCTCCTGGGCAGCCTGGAGGGACTGGGATCTCTAAATTACCAGCAAAGCAGGAATTAACAGGTCAAAATCGATCTATTGAGTCCCATCTTACATAAACATCTGAATAAATTGTGCTGGGGGATAAGGGATGCTTTGTGTGGCACCATAACCTTTCTGCTGGATCCTGGGAATTCTGACCTTAGAGCAGGATGAGTCCCATATGGATGGGAATCTCAGGTTACTCCCAAAAAGAGTGTTTTGAATTTCTCTTAATCCTTTAACAAAAAAAATAAAATATGTGCTGGCAGCTCTTTAACGTGGATGGTTTTGTAACACTGCAGAGGCTTACGTGGAAAATAGCAACATTCCCATCCTTTGTTTTTTTATTGAGGGCCAAGGAAAAACTTCAAATGGACATTTTCCCCTTTTATTTTAAGTAAAAAGGAGCTGGAAATACCTTTTAGAATTAATGAAAGCAATTAGAATGAATTGCTGGGAAGACTAAAAGTGAGAAGCAATAATGTATATATGTGTGTGTGAGCCTGCATTATCCATGTGGGGATCCTGGATCTGCTGTGAGCTCATGGAACTCCCTGCCAGAGCCAAGCCAGCCCTTCCCATGCTCAGCTGGGAGTGGAGAGCCACAGGGAAAGGCTCAGAGTGGGATGCAATCCCTGCTTTTTCCAGCTTTTCCATGCAGGAATGCACTGGGCGGTGCATTCAGCTGTTCCTGTGTGTGGAAATAGGAGGAAGAGCAATGGGATTTAACCCGTTTTGCATCATTTCATTTTGAATGTCATTCTGCCATCAGGTTCTTGGTTGTTGTGGAATGCAGTGATGTGAGCAGAGATGGAAAAGCTGGGATGCAGGAAATCCCATTTCCTTCAGGGTTCTAAGCCCAGCAGAGCAGAAGGTTCCTCCCTGCTCCCAGTCCAGGTGCCATCTGTTCTCAGGTGACTCTGCTGGTGTCCCATTTGTCCCAGGCTCTGATTTAAACCAGTTAGGGCTCTTTCCTTCTCTAATCCCTGCTGCAGAGCTGCTCTTCTCCATCTGTATCTCAGATCTATCCATGGCCAGTTTATACCATGAATTCTTGCCTCTTTATATGAAATAGTTTTTCTTTCTCTGGTATTTGCAAGCTTAAGGTATTGAACAACTATAAACTGCTCAATCTTCTTCTGGCAAAGATAAACAGAAAACATTCTCTGGGCTCCAGAGGGAAGTGTCTCCACCTCCATCCTGGTTTAAAATCATCCATTTTGAATTAGAATGATTAGAATTCGTGCTAATTTATTACCTGTCTTAGGTGAGTGGCTGGGAATGATCACATTCTTGAATCATCATATTTTTAATATAATATATTGGAGAGCCTGGCAGTGACTTGGAGCAGTAAGTACTCATCAACCAGGCTAAATTTAATTATTTTATATGAGAAAGTTCGAAAAAGTAATAGAATTGAGCTATGAGTAGCATCTTAATTGAAATAAGGTTGGATTGAGAGCTTCAGGATCAGCACAAGGTGGAAGAATCGTTGTGGGTGATAAAATAATTTGTGCCTTTGGAAGCAGATGGGGTGGGATGGCACCTTGGGGTGTGGTGGGAAGGAGGAAAGGTCATTCCTTCCTTCTGGCCTGCTGGGTGAGAAAGTTCCACTTGTTTTGTGATGTCATTTTGGCCTGAAACTTAAGGAGAGAGAAACAAGACTGGGAAATGTGTTTGGAGGATTAAAGCAGTGATGAAAAAGTGATTTTCAAACTGAGTTTGCCAATCTCGTTTTCATGTGCCCAGCTGACCTGGTAGAAAGAAACTTGATTTCTTCGAGCTTGACAGGCTAGTTTGAAACATTCAATTAAATGTATTAAATGTCAAGATATATTTTGCCAAGCTAATCATCATTCCAGCCACTAAATACAAACTTCCTTGCCAAAGTGAGATAAAATCTCTGTGTGAATGATTTGGATGTTAAAGGATTGTCTGAGAGAGAGAGTGAGCACAAAATTGTATAATTATTGTATAGTGCTAAACCTGCTAGTGGTGTAGGATGGGAATTTCACATGCTCCTGGTGTGATAACATCACTAAAAGATGGTTTGTGTATTGAGAAATTGCATATTTTAGCTGTCAAGGTTGACTGTTCCTTCAAGTGGAGGGGAAGAGATGACCCCCAAAAAACCCCAACCAACCCCAGAAACCAACCAACACCCCCAACCCATTTACCAAACTCTTTTTTAACAGAGAATGGTCCTGTATTTGTGTAAATTTGGAGTCTGAATAGCTGGTTTGTTTATCCCCAAGCCTGCTCAGCAGTTAAGAATAGTTCTTTATCTTCCCATTAAGACTGTATTATTTTACAGAAAAGTGGGTGGTATCCAGTTTTACCCTGATATTGGCCCACTCCCAGCAGATCCTTACTGACACTGGGAGATGGAAGAAATACCCACAAATGTTTCCTTCAGCAGTGAAATCTGAACATTTTAAAGTCAGGAGCTCTGATACACTCAGGCTATGTCCAGCACGAGCTGGGGGTACTTCTTGATATCACAGCCCCATAAAAACCCTTTTGTTTTCCAGGAATATTTTCCCCTTTAAACAGCTGAACTGTCATGCAGAGCTCAATTATCCCAACTTATCCCCTCACCCTTGAGCTTCACCTCTTCACCCCGAAGGAGCTTTGGGACCAAACAGTGAAAATGGGGTGCAGGAAGTGACCCTGAGCCCTGTTTTTGCTGTTTGCTGTGCTGAACCTGCTGGGTTTTGTCTCCCAACAGCCACATCCCCTCGAGTGTCCTCGGAGCTGGAGCAGGCACGGCCCCAGACCAGTGGGGAAGAGGAGCTGCAGCTGCAGCTGGCGCTGGCCATGAGCCGGGAGGTGGCGGAGCAGGTCGGTGCCCGTGTAGGTTTTCCAAAGTATTTGGAGAGTTCAGATTTGCAACTTGGTTATTTTATTTTATTTTATTTTATTTTATTTTATTTTATTTTATTTTATTTTATTTTATTTTATTTTATTTTATTTTATTTTATTTTATTTTATTTTATTTTTTAATTTTTAAAATTTTTTGAATTTTATTTTTATTTTATTTTTTTTCTATTTTATTTTTCTATTTTATTTTTCTATTTTATTTTATTTTCCTATTTTATTCTATTTTATTTTATTCTATTTTATTTTTATTTTATTCTATTCTATTTTATTCTGTTCTATTCTATTTTTATTTTATTCTATTCTATTTTATTCTATTTTATTATTCTATTCTATATTATTTTATGTTATTTTATGTTATTTTATGTTATTTTATGTTATTTTATGTTATTTTATGTTACTTTGTTATTTTATGTTACTTTGTTATTTTATGTTACTTTATGTTATTTTATGTTATTTTTATGTTACTTTATGTTATTTTATGTTATTTTATGTTACTTTATGTTATTTTATGTTATTTTATTTTCTATTTATTTTCTATGGCAGCTTGGCTTTGTTCCAGGTGGAATCTTGTGTGTGGTTTGTTGGTTTTTATTTTTTATTTTTTTATTATTATTTTTATTCTTTAAATCTCTTTTTAAAGTAACTTCAGCCTCCGAG